TTATAACATATTTATAATATTGTCACCATTTTACCTATATTAAAATAAAGTACCACTGCATCACATTACTATCATCAGGGGCGGATCCAGCTTCTGGGCTGATCGTGGCCCTGTGCCGTAGCGAGCGCCTTCGGCGCGAGCCAACGCTAGGGGGGTCTCAAAATTTTGAAATCTAGACTCTCGGAAAAGCGAATTTCGGCATTTTTAATGTAGAATATAACAATATTTTAGTTATAATCTCAACCAACAAAAATTCTAATATCGCCATTTTTTTAATTCTGTTCGGATAGAAAAATAAAAATTTTACTTACCTTGTGGTGTCTGATGTAAAATCAACGCAGTTTCCGTACCTTTCTGTAATCACAGGATTGTTGCCGCAGGAGTGAGAGAAAGATGAAGCATGTTATTTTTGCAGTGAATAACCAAAAGACAGTTCACTACAAAAATATAATTTACCATCTTTGTTGCCCCATCAAATGGTCTTTTTCGAAAAGCAGCAAGGATGCCTTAACAGCCATAAAGATGGCAAGACTAATAAAACGAATGTTCAAAGGTGGTCTTCTTCCAACAACAGCAAAGATGTTTATCCAACAATCGTAAAGATTGCAAGATTAATAAAAGCAATGTTCAAAGGCGGTCTTCTTCCAACAGAAGCAAAGATGTTTATCCAATAATCGTAAAGTTGGCAAGATTAATAAAAGCAATGTTCAAAGGTGATCTTCTTCCAACAGCGACAAAGATGTTTATCCAACAACCGTAAAGATGGCAAGATTAATAAAAGCAATGTTCAAAGGTGGTCCTCTAAAAACAAAGTAACAAAATGATTTTTGGTGGATGGGATTTTTTGATCTACCAAATAAGAAGATGGCATCACAGAACAACGAAAGATATGGACATAGTCAATTGCACTCCCATCAACAAAATCTCTTGGATATATTGTACAATTGAACATTTTAACCAACGAATCCCTTACATATTTAATGATTGTGATGCTTGGCGGCGATAAGCACGTCCATTCCTATCTCTAAATAGTGGCTGTTCAAGAACAGCCTCATGAACTAAAGGCCCAAATTTGGCATGCTGTGTTATGCATGATATGTTCTCAATGCTGCCATCGAATGTCATTTTCTGCAAAGCTGGTCCTATTTCCTTACAGCATCTGTACTCTAATGCGCCTTCTAACAAATCGATATGACAGCATTGACAATTACACCTGAAACGTAGGAGCATTGTGGTTAATAAAGTAACTTTATGATTATTACTAACAGGAGAAAACAACAACTTACCATTCACCGAGTGGAACTACGCCATCACTTCGTTGTTCTATTGTCGCAGGAGAATTCCATCGGGATTAACTGGAGTATGCACTTCATCACCATCTCGACATCATCATTAAATGCTCGACATAACCCACGGATTCCGAGTTCGAATTAGATACTCATTCAGACATCGAATTCGACTTATCTGAGCACTGATTTGAGACCATACTTTCCGGAAAACTTGTTTTTTAATATTTTATTGAAAATATTGTCATTATTTGTTTTTAAAACAAGAAAAACGACAACAAAATCACGTCCTATAATATAATATTATACTGACGGAAACAGACGTGTTCAACTATCTACGTCACAGGTATCAATATGGCGTCGTAAAAAATTCGCAAATAGTACCCGACTTTGGAGGCAAAATTAAGGAACTTATATTTATCTGTTTAAGTCCAGCGACATGTCATAGTTCTTCAAATAATCCAAATTTTCAATTAAGCTCATAAAAAAGGGGGAATAAAATTCGTAATATAAGCACTTTAAATACTTTAACACTTCTGAAATTGACGTCACGATAAAAAATTTTTTATTTTTATTGGCTCGAGGTGCATATGACCTTTCATACATATAATAATTAATCCTCTTTGAACAAAATTTTTACGCCCGTTTCAAACATCGAACTTTATATTTGTAAACTAAAATAAGGCCCTGTTTACTGTATAGCATTGCTATCGTTGCAGGTTATATTTTCTATGTATTAAAAGTCAGTGATATCGTTAAGTGCAAAAAACACAATTAAATTCACTAAAATCAATCAACTTAATAAATATTTACTCCAAACTGTTACCTCTTGAAACCAAATGAAGATATCTTGATGAGCAAATCTGGTATATATTGTAAACGCAGCCAAAGCCTTAAATTTTGTCAAATGAAGCCTCAATGTAACATGATCATGCAATTAAGAAATAAAAGATGTTTCATGTTTATGCACAGGCTTATGCAAACCGAGGAGAACTTTGGGACAACTCAAAATCAGATCAGTGCAAGCAGGAGACCGAAGGTTGAGAGCTGCACCTGCTTGAGAGGTTGCCCTAACTTTATTACTCTGTCCTTAGTTATCTCTTCCTTTTTGTAAAGTAAGAAAAACTTAAAAACTTAAGATTTTAAAATTTTAATTAGAGAAGAACTTGTAAACACATTTGTCATTAATTTATGTCAGTATTTTACTGTATATAATCTACTTATATTTAAATTAACTGTCACTGTATCACATTACTACCATATATGTTGTATCATATACATAATATTGTCACTAATACTGAAGATGACATCACGAGATGTTGAAACATGTTTATATTGAAAAACTCCAATGTTTAGCTTAGTCATCAAAAAACAACAAAACGTACGCTATACTTACCTATCTTTCATAAGATGACCCAAACTTAGAAACTAAAAAATCTGTTACATTAAAGTGTTTTAAGCACATGCTTCTTCAAAATTATCAGTAAAGCGTTTATTGTTGAGTACAATTGTTACAAGTTAGAACTATAGCTGTATATTGTACGTTGTATTACCATCAACATTATAATTATAAATTTTATTCTAAAAAATGAAAAAAGAAAGCGAAGTTTATCATTCTTCAATATTTTAATCAAAAAACTTTTACTCAAAAAAATTTAACTCCTTAATTCAAATGAACTTGTGTCAAAATAGTAAAAGTTTATTTATTAATTTTCATCAAAGTTATTGACATGACGTCATGATGTTTTTACATACGGGAATTGTTGACAGTATATAACATTTTCTGTCTTAAAGGTCATATGTACATAATAAATGTACAAAAATGATCTCTCATATTTTTCAAATAATGACCATAAAACCCAATGACATGACATGACATCGTGATAGTGTTTTATAAATGTGAATTTTTAACATCATACAAAACTTGTTTCCACGATATTAACATGCGTAAGGTAAACTTTATTTACAGTTTTTGAAAGAATGTTCAAAGAAAGTCACTCTATAATTTAAAGAAAATAATCTTCATGTACAACAACACCATATTGTCAAATGACTCACAATGAATGAGTTGTCGACATTCTTTCATTTCTATGTAGTGAACGTTTAATATACAATAAAAATAACCAAATTATCTGACCTTACATTTGTATTAAAAAGTAAACCATGAACATAAAGTTCGTTCAGAGATCAAAGGTTTTTCACTTTTGGTAATTTTCACATGTAAAACAAGCGACCATCCTTACGACAATCAACATCTTCGTGTGATATTCTCAACTTCATCACAACTTTGACAATGTTACAGTGTTGAATTCTCCAAATATAAATTTGAAAGTTGACGGAAATCATAGGATGAAATAATCTTTACTTGACATAACAAAAAACTAATCTCTCTCTCAGTCCGTGATATTTTTACATAATTAAAAACTGACAGTTTTTCCACGGTTAAAACAAAGGATATGGACAATTTTTTCTGCAATATTTTAGAGTTCGTTGTTGATACCATAAATAACTGTCCTTTTGTGATATAAAAAACTTTTTATGTTTGTTTTAAGTGATATGTAATGTTAGTAAATACAATAGGTTAATATAACTACAAATGTTGAATTAGTGGATTTGCTCAGGTACATTAAGTTTTAAAAAGTGAATTCCGCATCCACCATTTGATACTAAAGTTAAATTTCGTGTGTTGTAATTTTAAACACAGGTCCAAATCCGTCAAATTCAGCATATATTTCACCACTCCACTAAAAAAGGGTTGAGTTAGTGGCTTCATTCAGGAACATTGAGTTTTAAAAATTTAATTCCGTATCCACCATTTGTTACTAAAGCTAAAGTTCCTGTGTTGTAATGCATAGTTATATTAAATACAGACCCTAATGAGTAAAATGTAGCGCATCTTTTTCCACTGTTTAAATCTACAGCAAACAATGTGCCAAAAGATTCGCCAATGAAATATGATTTATGTACGAATGTGCATGACCATAAAAATCCATCGATACTCTGCCAAATCGTACTCACGTCATTGTTTTTATGCACATTAATTACAAAAATGCCAGTTCTCAGTATCAAATTGTCGTCTTCAAAAGAGAATGCAATGACCGCTTGGTTACTATCACTTATAGAGCAACTGACTTCAAGACAAGTTAAAATTATCTGTTCTCGAACAAATTTTTCAATAAAAGACGTTACGGGTATTTTTTCAGTGTGCCAAGGTTTCAAGTAAAGTTCATTGTTGTTATTTCCCCATTTCCATAATGTGTATTCTGTTTTGTTTACAGCTAAAATAACAGAATTATCAGGTAGTACAGCTGCTGCTTTAAATTTTGAACTATGGACAGGAAGTCTTTCGTTGTACTGTATCTCACCCTTGGCAATTCTAACAACTTGAACAAAATCTTGTTCGTCAATACAAACTAAGACATCAGCAAATGTTAAGATTTTCTTAGGTTTAAATCCAATGTTAACATGCTTTGCTTGAGTAGAATCTACAAAATTTTCAGACGAAGCTGATATCTTCGTAAGATGATCAGAACCATCCCATATCCACAGTAAACCATCTGACCACCAACATCCTAAAGCATTCTTCAGTTGCATTGGTACAGTTTGAATAATAGAGCAACGTTCAATGCTCCAAATATGAATGTTGACGTTGTCACCAACAGCGAAAGCAGCAAAAAAAGATCCATCCGGTGAAAAACAACAACATTTAATTTTGAATTCCTCAAAAATAAATGAAGGTTTCAAAAGATGATCAGTTTTGAAAATATTCAGCTTGGAAAAATACGCCACAACGTAAAATTCCTTAAACGAGATGGGATGGACTTTGTTACGATTCCTATAAATACATGAACACTTAACACTTGGTAAACAAAACTCGATTTTTCCTTGATCGTTGTATTTTGTCAACTGAGTGATATTAGAAAACTTTCCATTCTGGCTTGTATGATAAAAAATACAATCACGATAATGGTGTGTTATCATTAAATGTAAGGGTAGTGAATAATTCTTCTCACTTGAAACAATATCCATTGCCTTTGGGAATTGAAAAACATACGAATTCTCGCCAAACACGTCAACAAAGAACTCTGAATATTTATCGGTGCATTGTAGTTCTTGGTAATCAACAACGCAGCGTCGATCAATTCTTTGCAAAGTTAATGAATTCCATGCAGTGAACACATCTTTAGATAAATATCCATCATATTCTGCTGTAATAAACAAACCAGAATCTGAGAAATAGCAACGATTAACGACATCATATGACTGTAAACATAATAATAAACGTCCATTGTTAACATCCCACAACTTTACTTCAGTAGATCCATCACTAGTTACCAGTCTACTTCCGGTAGGTGAAAAGGAGCAATAACAGATGTTTCCACGTAGAAAACCAAAGTTCAATAATGTTGGATAGTCAACGATGTCATACTGGGATAAAAATGTGTCTACATCATCCCACTTTTCCAACCTTGAATCATCGAGTGCAGTGCCTAGAGTGCATCGTTGTTGGAATTCAGGAAGCTCAAAAATAGATATTTGACCATTTTCATATCCTAAAGCAAGAAGTTCTTCATTGGACGACACACAAAGAGATGTAACGTTAGAACGTAAGGAGACAGTCAAATGATGATGGTTTGTTAAATATGTTGAGTCTAAATCCTCAAACCAAACAAACTTTCCTTGTTTTAATAAATCCCTTGCCAATAATCTTTTTTTGTTACTGCCATCAATTCTGTTTACAATAATTTGTAAATAACTACAGCTATCATGAAAACTATATGAGTTACATCTCCTTGTCATAAACAAATGAAATAGTTGTTCTTCAAGTACATCTTTTTTCAAGAAAGTTTGTAGTTTCTTAATGATTTCAAACAATTCAAACCTAATGGTATACATGTCAATGTCTTCCACAACCATTAACCTTGCACAAACCACTTTGACATCTACTGCCCAGCTAACGTCGACATTTTCGCCATATTCTGTCATATGGTGGACTCCATTCTTTAAAGCGTATTTAATCATAGTAGTGTTCATCTGATCTTCAAAAATGTTCATCGACTTGATATGTTTAAACTCTTTCTCACAAGCATGCCATAATAACTTATGACCATTTTTTGGATTAACTGTAAAATCATGCTGTTCGTAACCATCTGATTTCAACCAATCAATTAGAGATTTGTGATACACGGTTAAACAATCATCGTAAACTGGCAAAATTTGAGATAACAGTGCAATGATTTTACTGCGGACTTCTAACTTGATGTCACCAGAAATACCAAAATAGCTAAACAGGAAAGTTAATGGTAAAAACTCCTTACAGGCAGCCAACAATTCAAGAAATTGCATGAAAGAAGTTTCTGAGATGACAGAATTTCTGGGACTTTCCGTCGTTAACAATTCTTTTACTCTTTTGAATTGCTTTGTGTAAACACCGCTTAACCCACTAGGGACCAATTGTCTAATGTTTTCGTAAGTAAGCTCAGTATTTTTTTCTTTCAAGCTCAGTTGTGCGTAATACGCATAAAGAAATGATCCCTCACATTTTTCAACTAATGACGATAGAACGTAGCGATCTCTATGCACACGATCATTCAATTGATCTCCCAAAAATAGGCCCTTCAATTTTTTAACTATTGACAAGGAAGCACCATCACTATTTTTTTCGAAAAGAAGACTCAACTCCTGTCTCAAATACTTGTGCAGGTCTTCTTCCTTGTTTTCATCAGGAGGATGAGTTGTAATTTCCACAGGATTCATGTCTTTCAACTCCGTTTGAACAGAAAGTTCTGGACGACTGGTGATGAAGATTTTAATCCATTTAGGCAGTCGGTCAAACTCTTCTGCAATCAATTCCAACAATTCACTTTTGCCATCAACTTCGCTTTCATCTAAGGCATCAACAACCAAAAGCATTGGTTTATGATCTTTTAATGAATGCAATGGATTATTTAATAAAACAAGGAATTTATCGGTGATCGATTTTTTGGAATTGTTTCTCTGTAATTCTTCATGCAGCTTGCTTTTAAAATTTGATATTGTATCACACATGCTACTAGCCAATGATTCTATCAATACTTGAGGATTTCTATAATCTGATATATTATATCTGCAGAAATGAGAAGCTGCAAGTTTCTTCTTATCAGAATATCGTCGACACAACTCAGCAGCAAACACACTTTTACCAACACCTGGACCGGCAATCAAAATCATGACATTAGAAGCATCTTCACTTCTATCGTTAAACCAAGTGTCGAGTTTTTCAAATAACCATTGTCTAGTGCCTTCAAGGTATTTCTTGTTAAGATCATTTATAAGACCATTAAAATTACACTTTCCAAGCTTCTGAAGATCTGAGCATATTTTGTCTTGATTCATTTCTCTCACTCTGGTTACATCATCCTTTTTTGCCATGCTTTCTTTAATTTCTTCAAATTTATTTTTCATATCTTCAAAATTTTTTTTTAATTCTTCTACATTTTCGTTGATTTTCTCAGCAACCTTCATTAACTGTCGCTCTTCTTCATACCATTTTTTTAGCATTTCAATATGATTTGCCTCATCAGGACTGAGTGGAGCTTTCTTTAATTCAGTTATTTCAGTTTGTTGAATACCCAGACCGACCAATGCTTTTGAAATTTCCTGCCACAAGTACTCAAACTTACTGTCATCTACACTAAATGTAGTTATGTGACCGTACACTTTGTTTCGATAAATCTTTATTCTTGCTATATTTGCTGAGATTGAAGTATCTGAAGAGGAAGGAAGATTATTCCATCCACCAGATGGTTCCGTGAAGCCACAAATGTTACGTAACAAGACAGTCAATAATGAAATATCAAAGTTTTCAATGTCAGGTGAGCCAGTTGACGGGTAAAGAAGGTTCCATTGCTCTTTGCTGATGACTTTGAATTTTAGTGACGTCAAATTACTCTTTGTATAGGGATCATTAAGTTTATCTTTTAAGTTTGATGATTGAAGATTTATATAGATATGCAATGTTGTTTTTAAGGCTTGGGTTCCTTTATTGATTAAAAGTTTACTTAAACGAAATCCGTTTGTCTCAAACTTCAGTTTTTGAGGTGGTGAAGCCATTTTTCAAGCTAGAAATGAAGAACGAATTTGTTCAAAAAGCATCAATTTGCAATGTACAAAATGAGCACAAAAGTTAAAAGGATAAATAAAAAATAGTACTACAAGTCATTTATAAAAACTTATGTGCTTCATTTTTTCTCTCGATGAAAATTGTGTTAACTGCCTAGTGACATGACCCAGTAATTGATCTTACATTAAGGCGTAAAAATAGTAGACTTGATACAATGAAAAAACAATTAAAATGATAATATTTTCGCCTACTTAGTTTAGCGGATGCCCGAAGCACTTGTGACCGCGGGCTCGTTTTTTTTGGGATTATAGGGTAGTGTTTGGGTCACCGTCCAAGGTGTCCGCTAAACTGCAGAAGTCCCCATACAAAGACAGTCAGTGGAATATCGATTTAATTCATATAAATAAAACAGTTAGACACGTTGGAAAACAAAACAAGTATCTTGATTTCAGTTTCTCAATGTACATGCTAAATCAAAGTTCATCTAAGAATAAATTACGTGCAAAATGAATGATGATGAAATATGCACGTTATCTGGCGTTCATTTTGACCACTTGAACATAATCTTTACTTTACATTTATACATTGTACTGTTTACTTAAGTTTAGTTATATTTGAAAAGAAATGTCACATTATGACGTGGCATTTGTGAATGTCAAGCGCATCACTTACTCAGAATTATTTATTATCAGATCTTTTCTGCGTGTAAAAGCCGCAATTTTTATGGTGGATAATTTGAAACAAAAAATGAAACCTACATTCCAGTCGTGGTTTCAATAATAGCTTTAAAAATCACTTATGGAATTATTCAAACGATTTTCATTAAGAATGGAAATAAACGTTGATTCTATTAGCATCTACCGCAGAGATTCCGCGAGAGATACTACGCATGCGCACATTGGTCATTCTCTACCTTGCTCACCGCCATTACAGATGGCGTGTTTGGTCATATACGAATAATCCATAAAATAATTTGCCATCCCGTCTTGTAGAACGACAAAAAAGTTGTAGAAAACAATACAGGACAAAACATCTACATAACCACTGAGTTTGCGCGGCAAACTCTTTTTCTGTGGTTAGATAATCTAGTCAACAACAAATGGCACAAGTCAGCGAAGCAATTGAGCAAGCAGACGACTTGACGCTCTTGCGTAACCATCCTAATCCGACGCTTTCGTTCTTATTAGGAGACGTGAATGTAGATGATGAACCGTAACAGAAACAGTCTCGTCTACAAGGCAAAAAGAGCAAATCTGGGGGGCGGGGCGGGTATAAACACCCTGCTAAAGCCAAAAACAACAATCTCCTAGAAGAAGGAAATGACGGGAGAACCACTTTGGACGACCTTAACAGGAAAGTCGATCAACTTACTGTCTTGATGAATACTTTTGCTAATGTCGTAAAAGAGCTCAAGCAGGCTTATGATGCCGCACGCCAAATGAACGATGGTGATGTTATATCTGAAGGTGAAACAGATGACGAACACACTACCAACGGGGCTGCTGCTGTAGTTGCAGATACAGCTCCAGCTCTAGCAAACCAAAGCGATGCTTTGGTAGATGAACTGATTCACGAAGTGACTGAGATTGAACCGACAGACCAACCATTGCCAACTAAAATTTCTAAAATCCTGACAAGCATTTTGTCCTCTGGGCTAAACGAACAAACATTATCAAAACGGAAGAAAGGGGTAAAACGCCACGAAAACTGTGACCCGTTAAGAGTTACAAAGGTGAACCCAGAAATTTTGGACATTGCTAGGAAATCCAAACGTAGCATGGATGCACGTCTACAAAAATTACAAGAAGCCTTAATAAAGGGACTCATTCCGATTTCCCGAATTGCGGGATCAATTAGTACCTCTCTTGGAACAAAGCCTACAACACCTGCACCGACACCAGAGGTTATCTGGGATCGGCTGTCCCCATCTATAGTGCTTCTCGCTTCAGCTAATCGTGATCTGAGCATGTGCCGCAGGGACTTGTTCAAAGTTGAACTTGATGAAAATTACAAGGCAAATTTTAGTAACAAAGAACCTGTTGCTGCAGAACTGTTTGGTGATGATTTAAAGGAACGCCTGAAAAGAGTAAAAGAAAGCAAAAAGGCTGCACAGCAACTGACAAGCCAAAAACGGAAACGCAACGATCAAAGGTCGACCAGCTCGTATAACTCCAATGTACCTTTTTTATTCCAACGTCGTGGCGATCATTTGCAAAGGCGACCCAAACGACGCAACTATTATCAAAACTAACCCAAGAGGAAAGTCGAGACAGGGGAAAAACACTAAAAAAAGCAGTGACTCCTACTCTCGACCTTGTAAGTTCTAGTCAACGTGGGTGTAGTACTTCTACCATATCTGGAGGAGACAATGATTGTAGTATAATTGCAGGCCGGATACAACAATTTATTTGGAAGTGAAGGGAGCTAACTCACGATCATTCCATTTTATCAGCTGTAAGCGGATACAAGATTGATTTTCTTATAGACCCAGTCCAGCTGAAACAACCCCACTTTATAAAAATGTCTCCTTCGGAAGTTCAAAATGTCGATCGTCAAGTTACAAAATTTCTAGAGAAAGGTATCATTGTTACAAGAATGCATGAACAGGGCGAGTTTATCTCTAATATCTTTCTTAGAGCAAAGAAAGATGGATCTTTTAGAATGATGTTAAACCTAAAAGAGCTCAACACATTTGTAACATATCACCACTTTAAAATGGAATCTATCCATACTTGTACTCAGCTCATGCGACCTGGGTGCTACATAGCATCCGATGACCTTAGAGATGCCTATTACTCAATACCAATACACATAGAGCATCAAAAATACTTAAAATTTATGTGGAGAGGTAATCTGCATCAATTCACATGCCTTGCTTAAGGATTATCTTCCGCTCCACGCTTATTTACAAAGATATTCAAGCCTGTATATTCTAAGCTGAGGGTGCTTAGGCACATTTCTAGCGGATACATTGATGACTCTTTTTCAATGGGCTACTCCTATTCAGAATGCGAGCAAAACGTACATGACACTACAATTTTTTCAGAAGTTAGGATTCCTACCTCATAAAGATAAATCTGTAACTGAACCCACACAGATTTCACAACATTTAGGGTTTTTATTAAATTCAATAGATATGACTATCTCTATATCAATAGAGAAACACAACAAATTATGCGAGGTTGCCAGGGGGGTGCTGAAGTCTGACTCTCCAGGCATACGGGAAGTGGTCAAGCTAATTGGTATGATGGTAGCTTGTTTCCAAGGCGTTGAATATGGCCCACTGTGTTATCGTGATCTTGATAGGAACAAACCAACAGCCCTTAAGTCTAACAGGGGTAACTTTGATTCGACATTGAAACTCTCTCCTTCGGCGATGGAGGACGTATCTTGGTGGATTAATAATGCATATGAGTCATAAAAAGATCTGAATCATGGCCAGATTGACCACGTATTGTGTACGGACGCCTCTGCCAAGGGATGGAGCACATGTATTAGCAAACAGTCCACCGGAGGCGAATGGTCAATCGCCGAAAAAGATTCCAACATAAACTGCCTGTAGCTCAAAGCAATACTGTTCGGGCTACAATCTCTCTGTAGAGATCTAGCCCACACCCACATTAAAATAATGACCGATAATACCACGGCCCTTGCATATATTAACCACATGGGGGGCTGCCACTCTCACCTATGCAATAAAATTGCAAGGGAAATATGGGCGCGGGGCAGAATCAGGGACATATCGTTAACTGTCAGCTATATCCCTGGGAAACTTAATGAGGTGGGTGACAAAGCTTCCAGAACATTTGATGATTCCAAAGAATGGAAGTTTGATGCTGAATTATTTCCTGAAGTAACAGCATATTTTTGGACCCCAGAAGTTGAAATGTTTGCTTCTAGACTAAACTATCAACTTAAACCCTATGTCTCGTGGCACCCAGATCCACTGGCGTGGGCTATTGACGCTTTTTGCATTGATTGGAGTAAATTGTTTCTTTATGCTTTTCCACCCTTTAGTGTTATATCACAAGTTTTACAAAAAGTAGAAATGGCCCAGGAACAGACAATTCTCATCTTACCGGATTGGCCAACTCAATCCTGGTATCCGATGCTGGCACGATTAATGATTCACCGACCTTTTCTCCTACCCCAAAACAAAAGCAACGTGAGCTTACCATCAAATCAAGCAAAAGAACATCCACTGAAAGGGAGACTGAGACTGATAGCTTTTTTCTTATCCGGAGATCACTCTCAAGTAAGGCCATTTCACCACAGGCTCAAGCAACAATACTTAATTCCTGGCGGCGAGGAACACAAAAACAATATCAGGTGTACCTTAACATGTGGCAACTCTATGCTAATAAACGGAATGCCAATCCCCTTCATCCAACTTTACAGGTAGTTCTAGACTTTTTACAGCATCTATTTGATGAAGGGATGAGTTACAGTTGCATAAACACTGCTCGAATATGTTATCTTCATTCGTTATTACTGAAGGGAATTCTACGATTGGTACACATTATATGGTTCAGAGATTTATGAAGGGAGTGTTTAATTCTAGACCAGCACTACCAAGATATCAAGAGACCTGGGACACCTTTATTGTATTAGAGTATTTAAAGACACATCCCGCAGTAGAAGACTTAACCCTACAACAGCTAGCTCATAAGTTGGTAATGCACTGTGCATTAGTCACAGGGCATCGTGCCCAATCACTCCACCTCATGAACTTCTTAACTGTAAAGAAGGAAGAGGACTCATACATCTTCTATATCGACCAACTTGTCAAACAGTATGGACCAACACGCATTCAATCTTAGAGCAAAATACTTTAAATTCATATTTGTTACTATTTCTGGGTATGTTTGACACATCTCCAATTAAAATAAGTTTATAACTTAATGTCGTATTTGCGTGTAGGCATGAAGTGTGTCCACATGACTTTCAAATCTCGTGGGATCTCTGCGGTAGATGCTAATAGAATAAGGAAATAGTACGAGACTTACCTGAAGTTGAAGTTCGATTGGGATTCTATTAGCATCTACAGAGCAGAGTTTACACCATTGAGTTCTATAAGACCTGGAGGGGAAACGTCAACAAAATTACTATAAATTATCAGCGCGCGGCCGCGTGGTCAAAAAAATGGCGGATTTTGGTTGTCAAAGTCAGCGGAAAGACGCGGGCTCATAAAATAAAATTTTTTTCGCTCACCCGGATTTGACAACCACAATTGCGATTATATAAAATATCAATGCCAAGCACAAAAACTTTTAGAAATTTTATTTTTAAAACATGCTGCAAACTTGTTTGGTATACGGATGCTGAAGTAATGCCAGAAAAGGAAACATTTCATGACACCGGTAAGCAACGTAAGATTGTTTACCATTTAAAGTGTTCAGTATTTTGTTTTAAGTCAATACTTGAAGTGTGATGGTATATATTTTGTGAATGTTTTTACTCCTAAGTTATAATTTAAGTTATGTTCATCCAGTCTTATTTTTTCTTTACTTAGTCGCTTGTTAGACGAGGCAAAGCAATCAATTCTTATCGCGATATGCATGTCTTAAAACTCTTGTTTCAACTGACTTTACCTCCAAGAAATGGAGGTTTTTTTCATGATATTTTTCTGAAAACATGAAGCAAATATTAAGAATATATTCAATACAGCTATTAATAGAGCTGTATTGAAATCAAATTCAGTGCAGGATTAATTAATGAACTCTTTGGTACATGTCGTACATTAAAAAATACCTGTCTTAAACAGCTAGCCTGAACAATTTGATAGATTATGGACAATCATGATGATGGTGTGTAAAGGTTTGCTTTATGCTAACAGTTTTAAATGCCATCGGGTGTTTCTGTAAATGAATTGTTTGTTCTAGTAAACAGGTTAGTACATCAAAACCAAGATAAAAACTACTTTGTCCAATAATGTGCCAAATTAGGCTCCTACCTTGAAATTTTTGTCAAGAAAAGCTTATGATGACAAGCATGAAACATTAAATATAGTACTGCATCATCTGACAAAATCTATACGTTTTTCAATTCCAGGTGATTAAAAATTCACATAAGATGCATTGGTTGCAATGAAGTTGAATGTGGAAGAAGCAAAAATTGATGGCGAAGAACTTTTTATGTCTTATGAAGAAATACGATGTTATTTAAAATAAGAATAGCAATCCTGTAAAAGAACATCTGTCTTCAACATGAGACTTTTCCAATTATGTATAGTTTCTTTGTACAAAATACTATTTTACATAAACTTGATTTTTAAGTCATTCACTGATATTTTTACCAAAAGACAAAAAGAAAAATTCAAAGGCACAATATAAAATTCAAAAGTTTGTCAAGTTGTTTGAACCTAAAAAAATAGTATAGGTAACTGCAATTGGTAAGGACACAAGAGAAAAGTAGTTCAAGAAGGTTAGCATTTTTGAGAATTAATACGTTCTTCTTGACATACATTACACAAGGCCATAATATTATGAATAATGACTGTACAATAACAATTATACAACATGCTAAATATCTTCACCTACATTATAATTATTTAAACAGGTTTGCCTTCATGCAGCAATAAGAAAAGTTTTACATCAGAGAAGCCAATGCACTTTAATTTAAGAAATTTTATTTTCAATGGGAAATTAATGTAGTTCTGTTCAGTAGTAGATCCATGGTTGTCAATGACAATCCAGTTTCTAATATCTTGGCTCAAAACAGAACTAGCAACCTGATTATAGAATTTCTGAATTTTGTTCTTTTGCTCTCCCAGTTTAAGATATTTTCTTCATAAGTTCTCAGTAGATTTATCAGAATATCATAATACCTTATAAGACACCCAGAATCAATCCTACCAAAAAAAAAAAAAAAATACATACCTACTTATATATTTCCAGTCGACTTAAGTCGTAGGGGTAAGCTAACTTTTTCTAACTCCTTTTTGGACATTTTAACTAAGATTTACCCAGCTATTTAAAAAAGACAGTTGCACCAAGATGTTCATAAACAGTCAAAAACACAAGTATTGCTCATGGGATTATGCATTAAAGCTTAACGACACATTGACAGTGTAAAGAATGCCGTTTGATATTTATTTCTGATATAGCTAAGCATTACTTGAAAAAATATACGTTATTTTACAGTAGATTTACCTCATTTAAATGTGTGTGTCTATTTCACAAAAACCTGAAGCATTTTTTCAATATTTTATGCTTACGGTATCGTGGTTGTTTTCGCTGGTTGTCATAAAAATAAGCAGTCATAGAGTTCCGGATTCGGGAGGGAGCGAATATTAAAAATTTTTCTCAAAGTGGAAGTTTTGACAACCAAAATCCGCCATTGCCGCCATGTTTTTGACCACGGGGTCCAGGCCCCTTTGCCCCTCCAGGTCTTTTAGAGCTCAATCGTTTACACGCCCACCCATCATGTTACGGCCTCCCTGCATATCGTTCATATGCACATTTAGGCGGTTCATGTGGCCACTATCTTTGAAATATGACCAATGTGCGCATGCGTACTATGTCTCCTGTAATCTCTGCTCTGTAGATGCTAATAGAATCCCAATCGAACTTCAACTTCAGGTAAGTCTCGTTCAATTTCCTAATTTGTTTATAGTCATACTTCATACTACGCAATGCTTCGGTATAAATATTGTTAAGTTAGAAATGTAAATACAAAATCTCGGTTAACTTACGTAAAATTACCTTTGTTTTAGAAATAAGACTTCATATATGACGATCATGTGGAAAAAATTATGCTTGTTTTAGTTCTTTACATGTCACACACCTAACAAAAGATAAGAAATTTAATATAAAAAACGCGACTACATACATATTAGTTTAAAATGGCGATCATAATTCATACATTAATGAAACATCAACTTTTTATCCATATGAGTTTTACATAAACACATTTAAATAACAAACAAAGATGAAGAGTGACTCAGGATCTCCTTCAGCAAACAGTATTGCTCTATAACTAAGTATACATCACTGACTAAAAATAATTGTTATAGAAATAAAAATAAAGTAAATGGTTTGAACCCGGGAGTATCGTTACATGTTTGTAAATGATAATCGTCCAGGTTGGTACAGTCCTGAGAAGGAGTCAGGATCTCCTTCAACAAACAGTGTTATAAAACATTAATGACATCTATGTAGAACATTCTAGTTATATAACTAAGTATACATCACTGACTAAAAACAATTGTTATAGAAATACAAATACATAAATAAGAACCTCATGCAGAGTACATAATAACATTGAGATTAGTCAAACTCCAAAGGACTACTGCTAAATCTTATAAAATTTCCCAAGTTTTAACTCAGGAATAGAGAATCACCTATCTAAGACAGGATTTGAATGTCAATTATTACGACACGATTTTCAAAACTGTGAATGGATTTTTCCCTTCATTAATCAAAAATTCCATACATGGATATTCTTGCATAAGTCAGTTCTTATTATAAAAACCTTTGTTATTGAATAAACCATTGTAAATTATAAATACATGGCAAACATCAACTGCACGCAATTATAATTACTTATGATCAACAAAGACACTGTAGATACAACAGTAAACGATGCAATAAAAGTAAACCTTAAAACTGTTAAACAAACTTGATCAAAAGTATAATTTTAAAAGCTCACTTTATTGAATGAATGAACATTTTACAAAACTAGATTCGGTCGCGTTCTTCCTCTGTGTGTAAATACATACTTCCTGTGTTTAACATTTGCTTATTTTTCAAGTTTTCTTTTAAAACAAATGGTTTGTTGTATACAACTATCTACATTTTGCTAGACACACAGAGATTAGTCAAAAGTGGCGTCAGCAAAGAAGGGAGGTGACGCATGATTGGACATGTGCCCCTCCCTACATAAATTTTTACAGATCCACCTTTTCCCACAGACATGTAACGTTTATACAGAAAAATTCAGAGTCCTACATATAGAAAATATTCTCATGTTATTCTGCCTCCTCCATATTTTTGAACAGGTTTTACTGTCTTTTCCCATGCAGCTTATTGTCCATAGTTAGAAAGTTGGTGTATCAACTTAAATATGTATTCTCTTGAATTTTCAGTCATACATTATCGAGATAGTTCAGTAGCAAATTGGTTATGTAAAGGTAGTAATATAGTTTCAGAATCTCGCTTTACTTTCGACAAATTACCTACGTTTAAGTAATAAGACTTCATATATGATGACTGTGTAGACAAAATTATGCCTGCTGTTGTTCTTTACACGTCACATATCTTACCAAAATGAGAGATTATTATAAAGCACGCAAACACATACATATCAGTTTAAAAATGATGATCATAATTCATACCTTATTGTAACATCAATCTTTTATCCATGTAAGTTTTGTTACATAAACACTTTTAAATAGCAAACGAAGATGAAGAGTGAGTCAGGACCTCCTTCAACAAACAGTATATCAATGATGTCTATGTAGAATATTCTAGTTATATAACTAAGTATACATCACTGACTAAAAACAATTGGTATAGAATGAAAAATACATAAATAAGAACCTCATGCAGAGTGCATAATAACATTGAGATTAGTCAAATTCTAAAGGACTACTCCTAAATCTTATAGAGTTTCACAAGTTTTAACTCAGGAATAGAGAATCACCTATCTAAGACAGGATTTGAATGCCAATGATTAAGACACGATTTTCGAAACTGTGGATTTTTTCCCTTCATTAATCAAAAATTCCATACATGTATATTCTCGCATAAGTCGTTCATATTATAAAAAACCTTTGTTATTGAATAAACCATTGTAAATTATAAATACAAGGCAAACATCAACTGCACGCAATTATAATTACTTATGATCAATAAAAAACACTGTAGATACAACAGTAAAGGTTGCAATGAAAGTAAACTATAAGACTGCTAAATAAACAAGTTCAAATTATTATTTTAAAAGCTCACTGTGTTATATGAATCCAGGGGCGGATCTAGAGTATGTCAAATCCGTCGCGCGACTGATGTTTGAAATTCAAAAATTACCTATTCATATTAATTAAAAATCATTAATTATTCTTACTTTATTATCGCATTTACTTCGTGATAAAAATCCAGCTTTATTTATTATTGAAATCTAATGACTAATCCAATGAATATCTCGTTGGTAACCAGATCAGTTGAATTTTAATTGACCTGGAATAACCGACTGATAAGCGGGGTGGCTTGACTGGTTCGACTGATAAAGGAGTGTATGAACGCCAAAAACGCATATTTCATTGGTCAATAGCCAGATCAGTGGACGATCTGGAATAATCTCCACCGATAAGCGGGGCGGCCGGACCTATAAGGGAGTCCACTTGCTATCGTGTAATTGGTTCGTTTAAATTTTTGTCTTACTGTGATTGGTTTGACCGATTTCGACTGATAGCCAACTGAACTAACATAGTCAAGCTCACTGTCTGAATTGAATGTTTGATCGTTTCATAGTAATTTTCTAAACCATGATAGAAACCAGGGGCGGATCCAGCTTCTGGGCTGACCGTGGCCCTGTGACGTAGCGAGCTAGGGAGGTCTGGGGGCATCCTCCCCGAGAAAATTTTGAAATCTAGACTCTCGGAAAAGCGAATTCCGGCATTTTTAATGTAGAATATAACAATATTTTAGTTATAATCTCATCTAAAAAAAATTCTAATATCGCCATTTTTTTAATTCTGTTCGGATAGAAGAATAAAAATTTTACTTACCTTGTGGTGTCTGATGTAAAATCAACGCAGTTTCCGTACCTTTCTGTAATCACAGGATTGTTGCCGCAGGAGTGAGAGAAAGATGAAGCATGTTATTTTTGCAGTGAATAACCAAAAGACAGTTCACTACAAAAATATAATTCACCATCTTTGTTGCCCCATCAAATGGTCTTTTTCGAAAAGCAGCAAGGATGCCTTAACAGCCATAAAGATGGCAAGACTAATAAAAGCAATGTTCAAAGGTGGTCTTCTTCCAACAACAGCAAAGACGTTTATCCAACAATCGTAAAGATTGCAAGATTAATAAAAGCAATGTTCAAAGGTGGTCTTCTTCCAACAGCGGCAAAGATGTTTATCCAATAATCGTAAAGAGTGAAAGATTAATAAAAGCAATGTTCAAAGGTAGTCTTCTTCCAACAACAGCAAAGATGTTTATCCAACAATCGTAAAGATTGCAAGATTAATAAAAGCAATGTTCAAAGGTAGTCTTCTTCCAACAGCAGCAAAGACGTTTATCCAACAATCGTAAAGATTGCAAGATTAATAAAAGCAATGTTCAAAGGTGGTCATCTTCCAGCAACAGCAAAGACGTTTATCCAACAATCGTAAAGATTGCTTTTTATCTTTCTCATCACGGATCGTTATTTAAAAGATCTGCCAATACCATTCGTCTTGGATGTTTAAGTGCAAAACGATCGATTACTTTGTCGATATTAAGGTGAATTTCTCGATGAACATTTAATAATGCTAGTGACAATAATCCTTTTTCTCCCATGGTACTTCGCATGAAGGTTTTCAATCGACGAAGAGTTGAAATCGATCTCTCACAGCTACATGTAGTCACTGGAATTGTTGCAAATATTTTGAAGGCAGTTTGTACATTTGGAAATGAATGAACATCAACAAAAGGAAGCAACTCTTGTATGGAATTTGTAAGCGGACACTCGTAGTTATAACAGAAAAGTTTCCACATTCTTAACTCCATTTCAAGAGAATCAGGTGACGGTAGGTCATCTTTATACTTATTCAAAAAACGAGAAAAATGTTCGGCCCACTTAGGTTCACTGGTGACGTAACTTGGCAAAGCATACATGGCGTCAAATGCGTCGAGATTTCCATTTGAAAATCTTGATTGTAACTGCCCTACAAGATGATCGAGGAAAGGAATCGTTAAAGCTCTTTTGTAGTATTCTAACGTGCTGTCCGCAGGTACGTTGACTCGGTGCGTTTGACGGTCACTTGTCCTCTTCTTTTAAGGTTTCACTCCTCCTCCTTTAGCTAATTCAACAGCCATTTCGTAATACGACGAATGGACCGCGTCAATGTCCATGCGAAGTTCGTTAATGGTCAAAAAGAGGAGAGTAACTTTTTCACGAGCTTTACCAGCGTTAAGGGAAGCAGACTGAAGTTGCAAAGTTAATGGTTGGGTGCATTTAAGGCAACGCTCGACAACTACCAGACAAACGATAAACTGAAAAGACTTAATGGCTGTGATCATCCCCCCCGCTTTGTAGCACGTATCATGATCGTTTGACTTGTCGGTTCTTACCACTTCTAGTGCTGCCAAGATAGCCAAATAAACTTTGCGAAAGGTGGAAAGCCATTAATTCTGGCCATCCATCTTGTGCGACAAACATTGATAAGCTTCTCATGACTGGTTGTGGATAATTTTCTTTAATCTTCTATTTAAGGACGATGGTTATTTTTGGAGAATTATTAAAGAAGTCTGACACTTGACGGACATTGTTCATCATTTCACGCACCATGTCTATTGAACAAGCAGATGCAACACATAGATTTAGTATATGCGAACCACAATGCACGTATACGGCTTTATCGTACGCCTGTATGATTCGGGCAGCAACTCCAGAAAATTTTCCTGCCATATTTCCAGCGCCGTCATAGCCCTGACCACGACATTCTTCCATACGTAGGCAGATGCTTTGAATGAAATTTTTTATTTCAGTGGATAGAGCTTCACCAGAAAGACCGAGGAATTCTTCCCTCACTTTTAAATTTTTTTTTATAAACAGCAAAACAATGGCCATCTGTTCTACGTTGGAACAATAAGTAGCTTCGTCTGCCAAAAATAGCAAAAAATTTCTCATCTTTATTCTCTTTGACAATTTTTTCAGTTATTAACACGCCATATATATTTATTATTTCGTTTTGTATAGATTTTGATCTATAGGTTTGGTTTGAAGGGCAGTTTTCAAAAAGCACATCCATTAAGTTACCACATCGAGCGCCATACTTTATTATTTCAATAAAGTTTCCAGGGTTAGCGGTATCTTCTCCATCAAGGTAATAGTGAGCATCATTGCAATGACCTCTTAACGCTAGATTTTGGCGTGCACACGTAATGATGCAATCGACAATTGGGCGAAGTCGTGCACGATTCTTTTTAATAAGTTCTTTCCTGGCAGTATTCACCTGCACATTTATCCCCAGTGTCTTGTTCTCAATCATTTGCTTAATATGTGTAGCACGGAGAATTGCAGTTGCATGAACATTAGATTTTTCGCCATGTTGACATAACTTCTGAAGGGTTGATGCACTTGGACGAAGAGCGCTTACCACCAAACGTTTGAGATTACTTGCATTATGCGTGCTTTCACCGCCAAACAGAACACAAGTGACGCAAAAACCACCGTTTTCCACAGCAGAGTAAGCCAACCATGGAAATCGAGATAACCATGCAAACTGAAAACGTCTTCCAGTACTTTCGTGAGGGGAGAAAGAGTAATCAGAACCAGGTTTCCAATGATTGCATAGAATTTCGTACTTTTTTGCATCAGAAAGATCTGAAACCAGATTTATGTAGTTGTAAATATCATCTGCCGGCGAATTAGTGTAAGTTGAAGTAGGACCACTGTTGGAAGTTACGGATGAAATTCCTTCACATGTAATAGTGCTAGGATGTTTGACTTGATTATCTTCAGCTTCTTTTGTTTGGCAAACTCGTTTCACTAGGAGAGTATCTAAGCTACTTTGCTTTCGTTTTGCAACTTCCGTCTGTTTTTTGGTGGATGTAGCTTCTTTCGAAGAGGACGAAGCAGAAAAAACTTTAGGAGCCGAGGGAACTTTATGACATATTGGCATAGCTGACTTTAATAAGGTTGGAATGTGTGTTTTAAAATAATGGTCTCCGGGCTGAAGTGCTTCAATTGGTTTGCACGAAATAACAAAATGATTTTTGGTGGATGGGATTTTTTGATCTACCAAATAAGAAGGTGGCATCGCAGCACAACGAAAGATATGGACATAGTCAATTGCACTCCCATCAACAAAATCTCTTGGATATATTGTACAATTGAACATTTTAGCCAACGAATCCCAATTTCCTTTCACTTCAGCATCATTAGTAATTGGGTAGTATGACTGAATAGCACACTGGATTACTGTGGACAAAGCAAACATACACATCAAGGATGAAAAGGTGTAATTATTTGCTGTTTCCACTGCTTTTTGTAAAACTGCTGCAATTTCATTCGCATTTTCTAAAGAGGTTAGAGCTGCATCGGATATACACATGGCAAAGGCATTTTTAAGTGAAGTGAACGCACTATTTTTATGCTGACACTCGATGACAGGATGGGTAGAATAGTATTTTGCATTCTCAAACATTTCAACACTAGTTAGGAATCTCAAGTAAATAGAGAGAGTCTCATTCCCAACTAATTCAATAGAACATGCATTGAACAGACAATTCCCATTGGCTAAAATACTAAAACAAAAATTAGTATTTAAGTATCAATGGCTGCTTTGTTATACCAAGCTATACCCGGAAACAAATCTGCTAGACTGACTCTGACATTAGAATAAATAAGGGTAACCAATACAGTTAAAGATAGACTAATAATATTGAAATTGAGAAAGTTATTTTGTCTTTGTGTTAATTTGGTAACATCATGATAAAGTCAAAGTCACAGGCAGGTAGTCTAAGATTTGGAACTAGTCTAGGCAAGTCGAACAGGATTCAGACGACTTATTGATTCCATCTACTATAGCAGGGGTCTCGAAACTACGGCCCGCGGGCCAGATGCGGCCCGTTAGGCCTCTCAATCTGGCCCGCAGAGACACTTGAGAAAAAAATAATAATATCATTAAACAAAATAAACTTTGTGCATAAAAGAAAAAGAAAAGTAGATGATGAGTGTCGGCAATTTCAAGAAGAGTGAAGTGTAAAATACTTCTTCATCGCTCTTTGACCAGCGGTATACGGTTCGTCGGCTCTCAACATGCTGAATGAAAGTTCATGTGGCCCTCTGGCTTTAAAGTTTGGAGACCCCTGTACTATAGCATCAATATTCTATATAACCAGTGAAAGAAAGTAACAGTTATTCAAAATGATATGTTAATTTCTTTAACCAGGGGATAACATAAAATGGCAGGAATACAAGGATAATACATTATTGATTGGGTTAAATTTTAAAAAGGACTAGCTTTGACTAATATTGAAGTAAAACATTTTTTTTAACAGACATAACAATTAAAATTATTTAGGCCGTACATTAGACAGAGTATGCAAAATAATGACAGCTTTAGACATATATTTTACATGATACACTAAATATGAATAGCTGAAAATTAACGGATTGATCATATATTTCAGGCCAAGATGTCTAACGTAAATAAAAATATAAACTAATACCCCAATACATGTAAATTCGTACCTAACAGGGACATTGGGTCCTGATCTTTCAGTTTGGCTTTCAGGGAACTGCATTTTTGAAAATAAACAAGTTCGTAGCATAATATCGCCAATAGAATTTATACGACGAAGCCTTTCCTCGTTGATTATTTTAACACAGTGTTGTCTCAAGTTAGACAATTCACCAGAAATAATTTCGCAAGCGTTCTCTTGCTGAAAGGTTTGGACGAGCTTTTCAAGAACATCGATCTTTTTTGAAGTTTCCATTGATCCTAATCGCTGAGTAGAACTAGAAGTAGCATTTTTCAAGTCGACAAGAATCGAGCTATTGCATATGACTTGTATTTATTGCGCAATCAAAATACATTCACTGTGGCTCACCGTGGCGCACATGACCAAAACGTTCCCTGTGATTGGCTTGCAACGCTGCACCGTGGCTAAAGGTTACTATATTTAGCAACTATTGCGAAATTTTTTGAACGCTGACCGTGGCTCTTCATTCTGAGATTGCAGGTTCGAATTTACGAACATATTCCGAGCATATTCATGGCGTATTCGGCAAGATTCGAGACGCTTTCGGTGATTTTACAGTTCAGAGTTTAACTGGATGATTATACTATTTTAACAAGACGTTTAATTTGAAGTTTTTGTTCTGTTAACACAAATTTTTGACAAAAAATTACAAAATTCATTCAATTTTTGCTTTTGATCGAATTTTGCTGTATTTGAGCAAAATTTTTAATCATGAAAAAGTCAACCATGGAAAAACTTAAGTGGTAGAATTCTGACCGTGGCTCAAGCCACTTTCGCCATGGCCTAGATCCGCCCCTGGAAACTAAACTACAATCAGATGGAATTTATGGAAATCTTTTACAAATACATATATTGACATGAATGCTGCTTTCCAAACTGGGAATTTTTTCAAGAGGGCGAAAAATTTATGGATGAATTGTAAATGCTTAGCAAAGACGATCTCGCGAGCGACATTTCAGTCATTGATGTTCAAAAGCAAGCCAACATTGTTTTGAGTTTTATCAGCAGAAATTTACATCCAAAATCGTAAGTAAAGGACAACTGAAGTGTATGCATGAATGTAATATATCAAAGTCAATTTATGCGAGTGTGTGATGCGAGTTATGTTAATATAGCGTATGGTAAGCAGATTGATGCTTCTAAAATTGTTGTTGCCGCAGGACTTTTAGCTATGATTTCTTTAGTGCTTGGGGAATCGTGGCCGTTACATGGCAGCGAAATCCTACATTCCTGCAAATATATTTCAATGGACAAAAAATCTATAGCCATATGGCGCCATACTATTATTTACTTTATCATAAACAAATGTTTGGGGCTTTTCAGTTTATGATCATTGATCATTCAATCGTTGGACAGTTATATTACATATTGTTTAAGATTTGAGAAAACTAACATTGATTACATGA